GTTTCTCTGCGTGATAGACGCATAACATACATACATAAAACACTCACGCCTGTCACCCAGAGGGGTAAGCAGAGACTACAGACTTCCATTTGGCACGATCCTGACAAACCTCTCTTGCCTCCTTCACATCCATACACCTACGCATACATGCTCGTCGGTTAAGTGTACTCCTAATTTGGCCCGTTTTCAATAAATCGCCAATTTGGTCGATAAATTTTCGCCTAGGACGACCATTTCCGACTCTGCCATTCATTTCTGCACCATAAATTTTCTTTGTCACTCTTTTCTCATTCATTCTTTCCACATGACCAAACCACCGAAGCATTCCTTTCTTAATCCTTGGTCACAACATCATCTTGCAAACCACACTCTTCTCTTATTACACAATTTCTTACCCTGTCGTTCAGATTCAGCCCTAACATACTCCTTAAGGACCGCATTTCTACTGCGTTGATTCTACTCTCGTGCTTCTTCTGCCACACCCAACTTTCACTACCATACGTTAAAATAGGGACCAACACAGTATTGTGAATTGCCATACGTGCCTTTTTCGACACATTTTGACTCTTCACAATAGAGTGCAAGGCCCCATTTACTCTATTTCCCGCATTCACTCGTCGTTCTATGTCCTTATCATATCTCCTATCCCTGCTAAATACACAGCCCAAATATACAAACTCATCTACTTGCTCGATCAACTCACCTTCTATTCTTATTTCACAAATCGTTTTACTTTCTTCTCTTTCAAAAACCATAACCTTCGTCTTACTTGCGTTCACTTTCATACCCCTTTCTTTTAATGATCCGTTCATTAATATAACCATCATTTGCAACTCGGCCGCCGACGACGCAAGAATAACTTGATCATCGACGTACAAAAGGCATTTGACGGTTAACTCACCCATTCTTAATCCGCATTCTTCAACTTTCAAATTTTGCAAACAACTGTCCATAAATAGGTTGAACAGCCACGGGGAAGCCACACAGCCTTGTCTGACACCTTTATGGATGTCAAACCAGTCCGAGTAGATCCCGTTGATCCTAACACAAGCACTAGAGTCCCTAGAAAGAGACTCCAATGCCTGTATCAAGCCAGCGCTCAACCCAAATGAGTTCAGTGTTTGCCATAGCAAATCCCTATCCACTCTGTCATAGGCCTTTTCCAAGTCCATGAACGCACAAAAAACCTTCTGGTTTTTGGCCAGAAACTTCTCCGCGATCATGCGCATGGAAAAGACTTTATCTGTACATCCCATTCCCTTTCTAAATCCCGCTTGCACATCCCAAATTTTTCCATCAGTTTCTTTCATGACCCTTTCAATCAGTACCTTAGCATACAGTTTTCCCACAATGCTAAGAAGGCTGATGCCACGGTAGTTTTTACAGTCCTGCCGACCCTCTTCCTTTATATACTGGGACTATTACGGCTTTGCACCAGTCTACCGGTACCCGCTTCAGTTCCCAGCATAAATTAAACAAGGTGTGCAGCAGGCCTGTCACCACTTCTTCTCCAGCCCTTAGCATTTCGAGTGAAACTCTATCATATCCGGCAGCCTTATCTGCTTTCATGCTTTTCATTGCTTTCATTATTTCATCTATACGTATTTCACTATCTCCTTCCTCTTTTTTCGGTGTTTCTACTCCACTTAGTACACACGTTGTCTCGTCACTCATAAACACGCTTTCAAAATATTCCTTCCATCTCTTTAAACTCAAAACTTCATCATTCAGAATATAGCCATTCTCGTCTCTTATAGCTTTCATCATAGGCTATTGTATTGAGTGTCCCCTGGCAGTTCATACAAGTTTCCAGAACATTTTAATATTTGCCTGGAAGTTATCCGATATTCTTCTATCATTCTTATCCGTTCTTTCTTGCTTTTTTCTTTCAACTACTTCTTTAACTCTCTTATTAATATGTCTAAAGACTGCCTTTTTTCTTTCAATATAACCATTCGTACCACCAGAATTACCAACCTTTGTTGCTAGTAAATCTAGCCATGCTCTCTTCTTTGCTACAACTTCCATACGTATCTCATCATCCCACCATAGCGTATTATTTTTCCTTTCATTCTTTCTCTTACTAACACCACATACTTCGGTAGCTGCATCCACTAAACCTTTCTTTACATTTTGCCATATATTCTCCAAGTCTAACTCCTTCATACATAATTCATCCAAACCACTTACATTTTCTTTCAGTCTACATTTGAACTTGTTTTTATCACTTTCATCTTGTAACCTTTCTGTTCTAATACGCTGTAACGCAGTGGTAGACGAGTTTTGTTGCGATGTACGATGGTCAAATTGTGCGGCTGGAATTAGTCGAAACAATTCCTCAGAGCACTCTTCGTGGTAGATGCGATAAAATATGCAAAGAGATCCAACATCTTTTCGCAGTACCAGTTAGTCAAGCCAATCAGAAAGAGCTCGGTCGCCGACGAATCGAACAGCTCTGCGCTGGACGCGATCAAATGGAAGGAGCTGGCACTGGGGAGCCCCGGTCCAGAGATGGGAACAGTATTCCATGTGCGGCCGAACTTGTGCCTTGTAAAGTTACAGGCGGTGAGCCGGCATGAAACAATGTCCCGCTCTGCTGAGCACGTCAAGCTTTTTAGAGGCCGATTTGGCCTTCTCTTTCAAGTGACCACGAAACTGCACATCACTCGATATGTTGACGCCGAGGATTCCGATACTGGCTGAGGAAACAAAGGGAGTGCCTTGAAACTAAGGAGATACGGCGAAGGGGCTTTTTTTGCTGTAAACGCACAAACTTGTGTCTTCTGTGGATTAAATTGGACTAGATTTAGTCGCCCCCAGTCCGAGACTTTGTTCAATAAAGTTTCGACTTCAGGTACAAGTTTGTCCTGGTACTCTGCGACGTTTTTCCGAGAAATATTGGCACGGCCGGTGTATAAAGCATCACCAGTGCTGTCGTCTGCATAGCAATGAATTTTACCGGTTTGCAACATGATTGACGATTGATTCATATCAATCAAGGAAGGAACACGTTCGCACAGAAATGAAATGAAATGAAAAATGAAATGGAAAATTTATTTATTTATCACCATAAAACCAAAAAATTTCTTAACAATAAATATGATATTTTTGGTAAAAAATAAACGAGAAATATTGATTTCTGTTTATAAAGTTGCGTTATAAATTTTATGTTTCAATTTTAAGATTTTTAGTCTATGCTTCAAATCTTCAAAACGCTGTCCGCCATATTAGATTCTCTCGTGATATCACTGATCCGGCTTAATAGTATTAGTGTTCTGCGTCACCGATTAAGAGAACTAGCTAATATGCTGTGTTATTTCGAAAATTTTCAAGTTATCATTATGATTACTGAGTTTTACATAGTGATTTCATATATTTACGCGAACACTACACATTTAAATACTACTAGTTTTTATGGAATTTATCGCGTATATTTAACTTTTTAAATATACGACGTTTCGAGCACTTTACAGCACCTATGGTCACGGGGGAGACTGAGCTGTTCAAGGTCCAGATGTTATAGTTAACCGCGGTTAGCATAGATTAAATTTTATATTAGTTCCGATCTACACAGTATGAACTTATGGTATCTTAAAGTCTTGCGGTTATTTGTTTGGGTTGGGATTTAGTTTTATTTATTATACGATCCCAAGCAGATGGTAGCACCCAGCTATCTTCTCTATTGAAATTAGGATGTTTTTTTATTTCAATAGCCTCGCGAACAATCCTTGGAAATAATTGGTATTCTTTAGCGAGGATTCGTGGTCTATCAAATCTGATGTAGTGACGGGGGTGATCCTGTATGTGTGTGTATCCTGTATGTGCTTTGAGCACAGCATCGATTCACATACAATGTGCTGATGTGAAGAATCGACGCTCCAGGAAGTGTGCTGTCTGTGAACACATACAGGATCGCCCCCGTCACCACATGAGATTTGATAGACTACAAATCCTCGCTAAAGAACACCGATTCCTTCCAAGGATTATTCGCGAGACTATTGAAATCAAAAACCATCCTAATTTCAATAGAGAAGAAGGCTGGGTGCTATCCATCTGCTTGGGATCCTATAATAAATTAAATTAACCCAAGCATACAACTGCAAGACTTCAAAATACCATAAGTTCATACTGTGTAGATCGAAACAGAGTGAACTGGCGGTAGTGGAATAAACGGTGCTCTGTACGAGCTCTTATTATTTTAATTTATTTTAACAGTCCTTATAAGTTTTAAACAGTGATTAGTGTAATAAAGTAACCATAAACACGTTAATTAACGGCACCAGTGTTATTCAAGGTATTCGTAGTGTATAATAAACAAAAATACTGCTAAATAAAAATAATTGTAACAGTGACTAATACAGATAAATTTAAGATATCTCAAGTGATTGTGAATGTGTATCCAGACTCACAGTGCTCTGATACAAAACGATATATAGTGAATTGTGGAATAATCGGATTAACTACGATTTCAACAAATTTAATATTAAATACAGACCGTTTTTTATTTTTAAAAAACTTGGAAGTAGCGCCACCTTTCAAAATTTAATGGTACTACTGACCTGCATACATTGATAGGTAATAAAGCACTAGTATGACCTACAACAGATGTCACTACTGATCTGAAATTATTTTGTTAACTATAGTGATTTGTAATTTCAATGCAATTAAAAAGACAATAATAATGGAGAAAACAAACATCACTTTACGAAAACACAAATCTAAATCAGTTACAGATCTTTCAATAATTATCGATGAATGCAATGTAAATTATTCGAATCCTTTCGACACATCTACGCTAAGTTTACCAAACACTTCCATCACGGAAAATGACTACACAAAAAACTTACAACATCAAATTAATGAACAGAAATTATTACTGGAATCTGCTAACGAAGAAGTGGAGCGATTATCTCTAGAAAATATAGACCTAAAAGAACTCTAGCCCAAAGAGAAAATACTCTAAGTTTAATGAAAAAATTGGTATTTCTGAAAATTCAGTAATGTCTTCTCCGGTCATAAAAAGAATTAAAAACTTTATATCTGTGGGTAAAACTCCTACAAAAACAAATTCCATATCCCCTAAGACAAGTATTACACAAGTAATTAATCTTGAAAACAAAATTAAGAAACTTGAACAAGAATTGGAAGAAGCTAACAGACAAATAGAAAAATTAAACCAAAATATAAAAAAATTACAGGGTAATGTAATATGCTCCATAACAAAAAAGAAGCCAAAGAGTACACCGAAAATCATTCCACGTGCACCACAGACCTGACACCTTCGCAATTTCAAACAAAAATAATAGTAAAGAATGGAATAAGCTCCATGATTCCAACATACAGCACTAAGAAAAAAATATTTATCATCGCAGATCAACAGGGTCGAGGAGTTCGTCACTGCCTTCAAAACCTTATCGGAGATGAATTTTTAGTCACTTGTCTATGGAAACCGGGTGCGAAAATGTATGATCTATTATCCTCATTTAAACAGGAATTGTTGTCACTCACAAGTAAATATTACGTCATAATTATGGGGGGAATTAATGACAAAAATCCACTTGAATTTAAGTGTAATATAGAAGTTTATTTGAATTGTTTATCGAAATACAAATTTAATTATATCCGAAATTCCATATAACAAACTTTTAAATGAAAAAAAAAATTAAATTATGAACTGAGATATATTTGTAATCGTCATAAAAATTGTATATTTGTAGAGATGGGTTTTGATCATTTTATACCATTTAAGTCATTTTTTTCCACTTTTGTTTGCCGCTCGTTGCTAAAAGAGATATTACGCAATGAATATCAAATAAAAATTAACGCATACAAAATAACAAACAATCATGTAATTTCATATAATTGTATTGATTCTGACAAATTATTCGATAAATCTACGCAAACCGAAGAATGTATGTCAAACTTTACCGTTCCCATCTCTACAAAAAACACAAATCAAGCTATAACCAGCGACGGAGTAGGACCAACAAAAGACAATAATTTAACAAGTAACTCTACTTTTCGGAGTTTATTTTAATATTATGTTTCAAAATATGCAAAGTATTTGTAATAAAACTCACCTACTAGAGGCATTTATAGAGGATAGATGTAATTTTCATGTCATATGTATATCAGAGTCTTGGTTAAATAAACAAAAGAAAGATTTGTTGAAAATAGAAGGATATTCCGTAAGCTCATCTTTCTGCCGGGAGGAGCATGACGGTGGTGGAGTATGTATACTAATAAAAAACACATTAGAATATTACGAACGAATAGATATATCTTCGTTGTCCACCGAAATCATTTTTGAAATATGTGCTACTGAAATCTCTCAAATAAACTTGTTAATTATTAACCTCTACTGGCATAATAGCAAAAGGGAAATCGAAGTATTCTATTCACGTCTAGAAAAACTCTTGAGTCTCATCTCAAAAAAGGATTATTCTAAGAATATTATCATAGGTGGCGACTTTAACGTAGACTTCCTAACAAATAATAGCGAAAAAAATAGGCTCTCTAATTTAATGTTATCGTATAACTTCCACCAAAAGATTAAACAACCCACCAGAATTACACCAAACAGCTCCACATGCATTGATCTACTTTTTATTAATTTTAAATTAAAGGATATGAAAATAACTGTTCATGAATTTGGTTTTTCAGATCATTGTAGTTTATTAATTTCTATACCGTCTCCAATACAAAACTTAAAGCAATTTTTATTAAATAAACGAATATACAATAACTTAAATATAACTAAATTCAAAAATGAAATTTCTAATATAAATTGGGATGACATACTTAAACCTAATAAAAATGTAAATGAGAATTATGACATATTTAGTGAAATTTTACAAAGAGCTTTAAATAAATGTATACCAAAAATCCAAATAAAAGTAAAAAAAATTCTCCAAAGAAAAATTATTTAACGGTAGGATTAAAAACATCGTGTCGCTATAAAAGATTTTTAAAGTTATTGGTTTCCAAAACCAAAAATGAAAATTTTAAATATCATTATAAACAGTATTGTAAAATATTAAAAAAAAGGCCATCAATTTATCCAAAAAATTATGTAACAAATATACATTTGAAAATTCTCAAAATAAAACTAAAACTATGTGGCAAATCATAAATAACGAGACTAACAATAATTCACGAAAATATAGAAATGCTCAACTAAAAATAACAGATAAACATATATCATGTGATCCTAAAATAGTAGCGAACTTATTTAATACCTTTTATGCATCTATAGGAAATTTACACTCAAATAACTGTAATTTAAATAAAACAACTTTAACAAAATCCATCGAAAACACTCTCTTCTTAAGCCCAGTAGAAACTCATGAAATGAATACCATAATAAAAAATCTTAAAAATAAATCATCCTACGGCATTGATGAAATGACTCCTATTTTGATTAAAAGTTGTGCTGATTTGTTAACAATCCCCTATACAATATTGGTAAATCAATATTTTTCAGAAGGTATCTTCCCAGATGCCCTCAAAATATCTCTAATCAAACCCTTGCATAAAAAGGGTGAAACTACTGACATAAATAATTATCGACCTATAGCTCTGTTACCTACGTCTGCTAAAATATTTGAAGCGGCTATGGCGAAACGTCTTTGTTCATTTTATGAAAAATATAATATTTTGCACGTGAACCAACATGGCTTTAGGAAAAACCACTCCACTACCTTAGCAATTTATAAATATGTAAAAAGCATCCTAGACAAAATCGACGATAAAAAAAATCGCAGTAGGCCTCTTGCTCGATATGAGTAAAGCCTATGACAGAGTCTGTTATAGAACTCTATTGGAAAAACTGTATCAAACAGGAATTAGGGGAATAGCTCATAATTGGTTCAAATCCTATCTTGATAACCGCTTCCAATATGTAGAAATTGAAAATACCAACTTCGAGACAGGCAAAATTACTCATGTCAGATCGGATGCAACTCTCATTTCTGGCTCTATCCCTCAAGGTAGCGTTTTGGGTTGTATTTTGTTTCTTATTTACATAAATGATCTACCAAACATACTGGACGATCTATGCGTGCTCTTTGCAGATGACATCTCCATATTAATCTCTTGCACTAATTCCACAGATTTAACTACAAAATTGAACTATACATTAGATAAAATTACTGGCTGGCTACAATTACATAATTTACAACTTAACCTTAATAAAACTAAAATTATTCAATTTAAACCCTACCAAAAAACTGGTTTACAAATATCGTTTAACTATAAAAATACAAAACTAGAAACTGTTAACTCTGGCACTTTGTTAGGAATAGACCTGGACACACATTCGAGTTGGAAACAGCACGTACAAAAAGTTGCAAAAAAAAATATCCTCATTTATTTATGCACTGCAACACCTTAAACGTGTGACAGATTTTAAGACTGCCCTTGCGGCTTACTATGCACATGCTCACTCCGTACTCTCCTATGGCATCATCTTGTGGGGAAACTTTTGTGATATAAACCAATTATTTATATTACAAAAGAAGTGTCTACGAATATTGATAAATTTGGACAAAATGGAGTCATGTAAACCCCACTTCATTAAAAATAAGATTTTGACACTTACATCTATCTACATCCTCGAATCTTGTAAATTTGTTAGGAAGCACCCAAAACTCTACTCACCTATTAAAAAGACTAAAAGAAATAATAGAAATTTATATAAGCTTAAGATACCCTTCTCCAAATTAAAATTAGTTTCAAACAGCCCTCACGTTATGTCAATAAAGATTTATAACCATTTACCAAATTCCATAAAAATCCTGGAAAATCCTGTGCAATTTAATAAACAATTAAAAATATTTCTTATTAATAAATGTTACTATAATTTAAATGAATTTTTTGACGATAAATAACGATAAAGTAAGAATACTTAGACTATTCATTGTGTTTCAAATTAAATTAATTTATATAAAATAATATTGAATGTTGATGATATGATAATTTGTAATTTATGTTTAAAAATTAGATAATACGAAAATAGTTAGCCCTCTAGTGTTGTTATGCCCTTGCGGGGCGTCACATGTATACCGATCAAAATTGTACCATCTTAAATTTGTAATGTGACATGCAATAAACAATTTGAATTTGAAAATTTGAAAAACAAAAGTTAAATTTTAATCTATGGTAACCGCAGTTAACTACGACATCTGGAACTGGACGTTGAACATCTCAGTCTCCCCGTGATCAAGGGCACTGTAAAGTGCTCGAAACGTCGGGTATTTAAAAAGTTAAATATACGCGATAAAATCCGTAAAAACTAGTATTATTTAAATATTGAGTTTTACTCCGAAATTTATTGAAAAGGCATCATGGAAAATGAACTCGTAAAAGCAGAAAGTACTAATCTACCAAGGATGAATAAATTTATGGTTATATAAATTGTTCCATTCAATCCCAATTTTCTTCTGCTGAGTTAAGAAATGTTAAAACAGTACAATAAAAGTACAGTACCTATTACCAACATCTGCTTGTACAAAAACACAATATCATGTTAGAATTTATTTCGATAAAACAAAGTTTAGTAGCTATCACATTTTAGTTTATCTATAATTACAATCATTAGCAATCATCAGTTATAATATCTAAGTTAACGTAATTTATTACAAAATTTGACATGCGATATCGTCATGATGTTTTGTTTTGTATAAACAATAGTTAAATTTAAGAGTTGTACTTACATCAAAATGATCTTCACACAAGTTTTTGTAGACAATGTATTTGGGTGTTTCCTTGTCAATTTTTCCAAGTATTTCATATAATTAGTTGTCACTTGAATTCATAACTTGCTCGACGTTCTTATGCTCGTATTTTGCACTCAGGTACAATATAACAGTGTTATAGAGGATAACTCATTATTAAACATTAAAAAGTATCATATTCCTTTGCAAAATCGGCAAAATTCACGGATAGTGATGTCACGAGTTGAACAGCATAGCGTTTCAGTATACACTACATACATACACTGACGCCTAAAGTTTAGAAGGGTAGGCAGATGCTACGGAAAACTATTTGGCACGATCCCGACACCTCCCTCGTTTTTTTTCGTTTATATACCTAAGCATTTATACTCGTCGGTTAACAATAGCATAAAATAAGTAATAGTACTAGGTACAGAAATTGCAGACCTTTGACGTCGACTGCTTGGCGACGTTTTAAAAGCCTAC